GAGCGAAGGCAATTGCTTAATAAGTGTGGTGCGTGTGTGCATTCTTCCAACCTCCACTTTTCTTTCTATCTATTACTTCCTGCTTTGATGTGTTAGTATTAGGGCATATTTAATTAGAACCTTATGCTAGCATTTGCGTGCATCCATAATTATTCTGCATGACCGGGTCTCGGCACATCTATACTACTCTTTATTATCATTCAGGTTGAATGCGTGTTGTTGTAACATCTTCCAACAATGGGTCCAATTCTTAGAATAGCCGAGCCTATTTCTAGTACATTTGCATGTGTTTGCATTAGCCATCTAAACATGAACTAGGATCATGCATATGATACACTAGTTTGTTTTGGCTCGAGTACTTGGTGAGCATTTATGCTTTAGCATCTCGCATGTGTGGATGTTAACATAATAGCATGTTACCATGAGGCTATGTCTTACTGTGATATACCTGCCTGAATGCTGTGGGTGAGGTTGGGTTTCTTGAATTGGACAATGCATTGATTGTGAGTTTTAAGCCCACTTGAAAAGTGGCAAAACTTGTTTTCTAACCCACTCGAGGGTGGCAAATCTGCATTTTAGCCTACTTACGAGTAGCAAAACCGTTTTCAAAACAAACATGAAATGTTTTGTTCCAATTCAGGCGATCCGTCTATCCGTGTATCGCTGTGCGCATCACATAGTAAATTCAGGAGTTAATAACCGGAATAAGAGCACATAATGTTTTCAAAACTCGATATCATGGTTAGTAGAGGCCGTTCTTTGATCGGGCGAGCGGGGTGCTCATACTGCTTTCCAATCGTACCGAGTCCGAGCAGAGGCAACTGGTGATAACGGACACGTGGCCTTAGGACCGTTCAGGTTTTCTAATTATCCCAAATATAATATTTTAGGTGGCGACTCTATATCTGGCAAGCAGTCCATGTTTGACCCTTCTTTACAAAAATCTGTTTTAAAACGATTTGCCCGATTGCCGGTTCCAAAACAATCTGTAGCATGAGCACAGGGCGCGTCTACACCGCCGAATCGTTATATGTTGTTTGAAACTTTTTTAAGAGGCTAGGTCAAGAAAGCACGAAACTATTGTTCACTGATCAAGATGCTGCAATGGCTAAAGCCATACCTTGTTATGCCTGACTACTTGGCATTTGATGTCAAAAGCATAAAACATGTAAAGTCTCTTCAAGATAAGGGGTAAAGGGTGTACTAAATAAATTCATGTTCTTCTTCTTTGACATTGAAGATGCAAATCAATGGAAGTTAGAGTGGGCGGAAATGCTTGATAAATATGATGCGCATGAAAACCATTGGTTGAAATTGACTTTTGCTGTGAAAGAAAAATGGGGCTGGCCATATGTTAGATTGACATGGGTTGCGGAATGAGTACCACACAACTCAGTGAATCTTTTAATGCTTTTTTGAAGGATTACATTTGTTCTGGTTTTAATTTATATGAATTCTTCATGCATATTGAAAGAGTACTTTATGAGAAGCGATACAAAGAGTTAGAAGTAGGATATGCTTTATGCCAAAAGTTGCCAAAGGTGAAAGCGACAATAATAATGTTAATTCAAATGGGTAATGTGTACACAAAAAAGATTTTTGAGGAGTTCCAAATTGAGTACTTTCGTTCCATTGAATCGGACATAGAAGCAATTAAATCTGGTGAGGCTTGTACTATATACACAATTGTTAATGTTGCTGGGAAACATGCAAGGAAAATGAAGATGGAGAGGGATGACACTTTGGGTTGTAATTGTACAAAGTTTGAAAGGGAAGGAATTTTGTGTTGTCATTCTTTGAAGGTTATTAGAGGCATATTGAAGATGAAAGAGGTTCCTTCACAATACATTCTAAAGAGGTGGACCAAACAAGCAAGAGCCGAAACTGTGAAGGACATTAAGGGGAATGACATTCAAGTAGATGTGAAATTCCAACAAGCCTCGCGATATAAGACATTGATCACCGCATTTAAAGCAATAACATGTAGAGATGCTGAAGCTGAAGAAACTTATGATTTTTCAAATGCACAACTCGCTACATTAGGTGCAAATGTTGAAAGGAAGTTAAGTGCTCATTTTGTTGTTGAAAATGAAGTAAGTAATCATGGTGAAATCCAAAGCTTTGAAGTGGATTACGAAGATGAGAATCATGTTGTGCAACCAAAAGAATTGAGAAAAAAAGTGGTAACTAGTAAAGGCAAAAGAAGGGTAAAAGGTGGATTCGAAGCGCCGTTGATAGTGAACTCCAAAAAAAAATCCCGTGCTAACAGCTTGGCTTCTTAAAAATCTATTGTAAGTCCAATAGTTAGACTTTTTCCATTATCTGTTGGAGAAAATATCTATGTTCATCAACATGTTCCTCCTCTTCAACCTCTTCCTCTTCTTCTACTGATGTATCTCACATATCATGTGAGTGTTAGTTTAACATTGTATTTTTTTTTTTTTTTTTTGTGTTTTTGTGGGTATAATTTGTCACTCAAACCATGATTGCGAAGGCTAATATATGACATTGTTGTAGGCAAACAATTTGTGGGAGATGCATGTAGTGCCAAATTCTGTGCCAAATTCAATGCCTCAGTGCTATTCCGCTCAACTAACATTGCAGTCACTACTTCAAGGTTCATGTGGATATGACATTAGGTTTCGATATTCTGAATAATCAAGTAGTCCAATGTATAGTTAGGTTCTTCGTTTAACTTTGACAATTGTTATTACATTTTATGTACATTCAGTTTGCCCCTTTGTTGTGTCCATTGTGTGTTTTTTATATATATATATATATATATATATATTTTTGGGAAATTCAGTTTACCTCATTGCTTTAGTTGCTGAATTTGTTGCTGTGTTTTTTTAAAAAAATTTCCCTTTTTAGGCTATCGACATGCACAAAGAGGTGGAATGCACTGGAAATTTCAGTCATAGCAGCTCATAAATGAAAGTTTCTTCCTTAATGTTGCTAAAAAAGTTTCTGAAAAATTTGCTGAAATTGTTGGTCAAACTGTTGTTGTTCATGTTGCTGAAATTGGGCTGAAATGTATGTTTTGTTAATGTGGTTAATGTTGTTGATGTTGATGTTGTTATGTCTTGTATTTACAATTTGAAATTGGTGTGAAATATTGGTATTCATAGATTAGTGTTCATAGTTGTTAATTGGGCTGAAATGTTGTTGATGTTGTTCTGTTTTGGTGTGCATTCACATCAAATGACATAGATTGGTGTTCATTGTTATAATTTACTTGTATTTTAAATATTTTTTACTGGTGCTATGTGTGGGATGTTTTTAGAAGTTTTGATATCAGCAGAAATAGGCCAAGATATTAAGAATGATTCTGTATACACATCCAAATACACATCATAAGAACTCCAAGCTAATGTTTGAACAAATGTTCTTTTTTATAAGTGTATATTGTGTATTGTACAACATTGATAGACAAGAAGGATGAATGTAAATTATAAGCAGTGTTCTTGTGAATGTATAATGTAATAATTTTGTATTGAATGTAATGTACAAACATTAACAACAGATCACCCAAGAACAAGGCAGATCCCCACATAGCTGATGATGAAAAAACAAGAAAGATTCTAAAAGCAGCTCAAACTATTGCCATAAATCTAATGCAAAAAAAAAAAAAAAAAAAAAAGAAGCTAAAAAAAGCCACAATCCAATAAACAATATATATAGCCTTCCTGATTGCTAAAAATAACAGATCGGGCATGACTTGTACAAATCAGAACTCCACATGTTGGTTCATTTCTTATTTTTCCTCCTTCAAGAGGCTACTACAATATAATTTACTTGAATTCCAACATTGATATAATTTACAAGTTCTATAATGATATAATCATCAAATCCATGACTACATTCATCAAATTTCCATTCATCAAAGCCATCGAAAATGCTACAAACGTCAACAATACATCCGTTATGTTTCATAAAATCCATAATAACATTCCTCAATTTTTCCCGAAGTGAACCAATCAATAAATTACATCATAAAGTACAAAATGATAGAAAATACAATGACATACACCATCGCCTTCAAATGATTTTCAATCCTTTCAAGCCTTCGACCATAGTCATCATTTTCATTTTTCATCCTTTCAAGTCTTCGACCATATTCATCATTTTCATTTTCTATCTCATAAAGCCTCGTCCTTAGATTAGTAAAGTCTTCTACTGTTATAGCCTCACAAGCTCTAGTGTTGGAATGGATTGTGGACGTAATGTCTTCATCATCTTCATACACGAACTTGAAGTAATTGCAATGGGCAGTGTTACTCTACAATGCATGACAATCATTTAATTGAATAGGACAAATTAATTTGTAACTACTAAAGAATTAATTTTTACAATACATATTTACATATTTTGATGGGCATACAAAGAACAAATGCCTTTGATTTCCATGCTCATTGATTCTTACAATATATATGGTAGTTGTTCTTCCACAATTGCATAGTCTCGGTTTTAATCTTATGTTGCTATTGTTAGTAAAAGAAGAAGCCTTTTTTTAATTTGCATACACAATACAAACAATCTCATAACTAAGGATCACAACTCCATTTTTTGAAAATTGATAAAGACATCTATAGCATATCACACACATCCTCACATTATAGCATATGATTCTTTTTACCTTTTGTAGGTCATTTATAGGTGCTGTAAGCTTTCTTGTTTTATTGTTTAGTATTTAGTTTCTTTCCAAAGATTGTCATGTAGTTTCTTTCTCCTAATATTTTCTTGCAAATTATACTGGAATGATATGTATATGTCATTCTATCGTACTCTCTTACTGCATATAATACAAGTATTATAAATTCTTTGTCCAGAAAAGGAATTAAAAATAATGTCAGGACTATGAGAATATATGAAGCACCGGCACTTTAAAAAGGGTGTCGTGTCCATGTTACTTGTGAAAGTTTAAGTTTCTTGTTATGTCCATGTCAATGCTCTTCTTAGGTGAAAGTGAATTGTAGATTTGAAGGTTAAGTTGCTTTTGAAACTTGTAAATTTTTGTTCTGAATTAGGAACTGTGCTATATAATTCATCATATTCAGCTTTTATTCTCTCCGTCTCTGTATTCAAGGTTTAATGATGTAATTGAACTATTATGTTAGATTACTAATAGAAAATTTAAAAAAATAGAACTATCATATTAAATTACTGGATTTACCTAGTAATCTTGTTATATGTAGACTTGGTAAATGTCCTTCCCTTCTTTCCCTGTGCAGAATCACCTTTGTTCTTCATGTTAAAAACATTTGATGAGTAATGGTCTGAAAAATATTTTAGGAGTGAAACCCAAGACTGTTATATATCTCTTGGCCTCAATAGTTCATAACTGTTATCTGTTATATATCTTTGTTCTAATATAGCACTACAAAATCATAGTCAAAATAAAGTCAAAAAATTTCAAAAGTTTATAGCACTACAAATATCAAGAAAGCGAATAAAAGAAAAGCAAAGAATGAGATTTGTAATGTCTATGTACTAGTAAACCTCTTGGAGAAGTGGTAAAACACAAATATATTTCTTTTATCTAATCAAAAAAATACCAAATACATTTCTTCATATATTAATTTCCTTCACCATTGTTTTCGTAACAACCAAACATACCATTAGATATTTGTGAATACATAGCTTTTCAAAATAAAAATTAAAAAAAATTACAATTAAACAAAAGAAAATTGGAATGTAACTCCAACCCCCCCCCCCCCCCCCCCCCAAAAAAAAAAAGAGAAAAAAAATGGAAGATACCCAAGTGCATTATATGAGCAAAATCAGCATATTCAAACCAAAGATACAACAACCCATGTCCCAAAATTTTGCCAAGTACAAAGAAAACCTAATTAAATAGCCTCACAAACACTAATTCAAGAATACCCAAAAAGACCAGAGCATAATCAAACAAAAAGCTTGACAACCCATATCAAGAAAACTCATAAAAGAAAAGCAAAAAATGAGATTTATAAAATCTATGTACTAGTAATCCGCTTGGTGAAGTGGTCCCACCAATCCAAGGACTCGGGCTGGTATAGAGACTGGTTTGCTCGCAAGGGAACTCTGGTTCGCGATGTGAGGGCAGAGAGAATGAGGGCGAAGCAATAGGTTAGGTTTGGGGAATGGGTCGCCGTCAAGAGGATCGCCAGTGAGACGGGTTCGGTGAGGTGGAGGAGAAGAGTGTGAGAGCTCTGGTTTGCGAAGTAAATAGAATCAATCCACCTCGATTGATTCAGGAGTAGGTCACCATTGTCGAGAGTGGGTCACTGTCAAGAGTGGGTCGCCGGTGAGGATGAGTTCGATAGAGGAGAAGGGGTGAGTGTGAGACTAAGTGAGAGTGAGTTCTAAAATAAAATGTGTATAACGTGTATAGCTTTGGGCGAGAAAATTTCAGTTTCAATTTGTTTTAATTTTTTTTGTTCTTCAAGATCTGGACCGTTGGATCTGGGTTGGGGGCATAGCCATTGCACGTAGGAAGTGAAGGAGAGAAGTCAAGGAGGGGATCCAGATTCGTGTCTCACTTATGGTTTGTTTGGTTACCCTATGTTGTGCACTGGACTATTAGTCCACGTGGATTGTGAATCTCCTATGGCAGTGGCATTAGCTTTCCCTTAGGAACACATGGGATTGAAAATCAGTCCAAGGCTTATTTTGTGTATTACCAACTTTGCCCTTCAACCAATGCCCTAAAGGCCTTATTCAAGGGCATTTAAGGCAAAACAAACAAGAGTGACTACTATCAATACTATTTATTAAGGAAGCCCAATTTTAATCTCCTGAAACTTTTACCACCTGTAAATTAGATAATAAAAAAAATAGCACCTACACGTTCAGCAGTTCCCTCACTTAACCGCCCAATTACATATTTTTTTAAAAAAAATACTTCTGCCCTACACGTACATGTTGTCTCTCAATTTCTAACTTTACTTTCATTTTACTGTTCCACATCTACACATCCCTCATTTAACTGCCCAACTACTATTATTTATTTATTTATTTTTAAAGTACTTATTCCCTACACCTACACCTTCTCTCTCAATTTTCAAGTTTCCTTTCATTTTATTCAAAGGTTTTCTCCCCATCAAATCATTGACATAATTGATTATTTCTGTTGTCTTTTTCTTTTTAAAGTTGCTCACTTTCATTTTTCATAATCAAATTATTGTTACTTTTATTTTTAAACTCAACATTTTGTTAATTTTAGAGGAGATTGTTTTCCAAGCAAAAGTATAAAAATAAGCATTATCAGATATTTTTTTTATACAATTTATTTTTATGTTAT